GGTCCTCCCCCGGTACTTCCTGGACGGGCTGTGTCTGAGGTGGGGTGTTTTTGGTAGGTTTCATGTAGGTGAGGCTCTGTCAGTAACATTGCTGGGGGAGGGGGGGAAGCAACACTGTCTAAAGGGATTTATTGGATTTATTGGCACAGTCTCGGCTCTCTTGAGGCATTTTTCTGATAAAACAGCTTTTTATCCAGCTCCTTGTGCTTAATTCTGTGTTCCCTTGGGACAGCAGGAGTCGTGTGTGAAGAACTTGGAGAGGTACTTGGTCCTGGCACATTGTGAAGGTTTTGCTGGCTGTAACTAAGAGGGTTCAGTTTGTAACAGAATTTGGACTGTGTGTCAGAGCAAGTCTTGGATCTTGGGTTTGATGTGTTTATGGGGAGGGTGTATTCTACACAACCTGGACAGCTGGTGTTAGCACTGAAATGAGAGTTAGCAGGTTGCAGCAGTCTGAATGTGATTTAGAGCAGTAAGTAAAATCCTAAATCAGGAAGGAAAGGGAATATTTCTGCAATACAGCAGGTTGTTGATACGTTGTGTGTTCGTTTTACACAGCTGTTGAAAACTTAACAGGAATGACAACCTGATGCAATTTGGGAAACAGAAGCTGGGCCCAGCATTTGATGAAAGGAGGAAAATTGTTAGACAGCAGCTATGGATTGTTACATTGCTATAGGGGTATCATATAAACAGCATTTCTTTGAATGCCCTGAGCTCTGTACATTTGGCAATAGTGATTGCAGCATGGTATGTTGTCTGTTGTTTTCCCAAAGCCCTTGGGTTACTAATATTTCAAACCACTAGTCTCCCTAAGATGGGAGATGTGGTGGCCAGCTGAGCTGAGGCACAGTGGGGCATAAAAGACTGAAAGAAAATTCGGTGCCTTTTCTTTTTCAAGTGGCAAGGGAACCTTTTTGTCTTTGCTGTGTATTCGTCAGAAAAAGCATCCCAGGCATCTCCAAGAGAACAATCCAACCTAAAATTTTACTCCACATATTGTCTCAGCATCAGGCAGTGTAGCATGCGATGTATATTAATCGTGTTTTTAACACACTAGAATTTTAAGGCACAAATTCAGAGTCCTATTGGAGCTTCTGTATTTAAATAAAAATATTGAAATTGAGTCTAAGTGTTGCTCCTTTTAGTCTACCTAAAATCTCTCTGTAGTGTGAGGAACTGTTCTGAATCACGTGAATATTGCAAATTCCTCAATTTTGAGGAGCTTGGTGGGGTTTTTATTTTGGTTTTGTTTTTTTCTTATGCAATTGATCCCTGCAAGCTTGAGTACTGGGTGGTGTCATTTCACCCCTGCCCTGCCCCAGGTTTCTAGAATCCAGTGGAGACTAGACCAGGCTTTGCTAGGGAACCAGGTGATTATACTGAAGTCTGTCTTCGAAGTCTCTGTCAGAATTTTGTGATGTCCTTGGGATTTTATTCTTGTTTGGTGCATGGAAAATTTAATATTGGTCTGATTTTACCTCTGCAAGTCCTTCATGATAAATGAACATGCTGGAAGCACAGATGCTTTCCTCTGAGCATGCTTTATACTTACTTAAAGGCACCGCCAAAGAAAATCAGAACTCAAATGTTTTTAAACAAACCAGTCCCGTGAATCTGAACAGATTTATTTTCTTGCAGCCGCTTCTTCTTGCCCTTTACCTTCTCCCGCTGCTGCTACTGCAGAGCTGAATCACTTGGAGGGTCCAACCTGCCCCCCCTCCTTGCAATCTCTACCTCCTCTTCTGCTCCTCTACCTCCCCCCAAATCACCTGAAAAGCATGTTCTTAATGAGGAGAAAGACTAGAAAGCAAACTTTTGGGTGTTGTTAGGAAAGTACTTTTGCTGTCAATGGCAGATGTGCCTCATTTGTGCAACCAAGTGGTCTGATGTGGCATGTGACTGTCAAGGACATTAAACGGTGTCTGCCAGTGTACCAGGAGGTGTAAAGGGCAGGCCTTCGTGGCCGTGGAGAGGGCTCTCCTGTGCTTGCTGCTACCAGCTGTGGGAGTGAATAAGTAACGTCTATTTGCTATCTTTTAGCAGAAGTGTGTCTTCTTTAGCATTTGGTTAGAGGGTTCAAGGTCAGCATGTGACTCCTGGAAGAAATCTCTTAATTTATTACCAAGTGTATGTGTGTACTTTCTTTCTCTTTTTGAAATATCCTGTTACTCCCTTGCTAGGTAAGAGACTCCACAATGAAAAAAAGTGTTCAATTTCTGAGCTCCAGTCCAATCATCCAGGAAAAGGCAGCAAACCAGGCAAACCCAATAGACTTACCTTTTGCAAAATTGTGGCATTTTCAGAGCTAGACGGCCTTGAAGTCAAACTTTCTCACAGCTACTAAGATGCATTTCTTTATTCTGCATTACTGTGGCAATTTCCAGACCCTCATTTGAGGATAAAGAGAAAGAAGAACAGCCTGGCACAATGTTGCATTTAATAGTATGTGGTAGCTGGCAAGAGCAAGGAAACAGGTCTTTGCAAAACATTAAAACAGCAAACAAAGAAACCCAACAGTGTATTTCTAGAGGCTCAAAGATTTGTTGCCTTTGGTGTGTATCTGTCCCCATAGTTTGTGTCTTTCAGGAGCTGTTCTGTTCTAAGGAAGCTTTTATGAAAGAGACTTCAATATCCAGAAGATAAATCTGACTTAAGAAAAATGTATTAAATTGTATTACGTGGGCCCTCTGCTATGTCTTGTGTTTTTATTAAGAAATAAAAAAGTGTAATGCCTGCTTGCTGTGTAAAGTTATAAACATAGTGCTGCTCATATGGTAATAATAAGTTTCTAGTAACTGTCCAGGAGTTGGTAATGATGAATTTGACAGTGATAATCAACCTGGGAAAACTCCAGTACAGACTGGTTTGGGTTTTTTTTTTTTGGTTGGTTGCTCTGGGGGTTTTTTGCCACCAGATAGGATGTGATGTACTTGCTCTGCTTTAAGAAACCTGTTTGAACAGCATACTTGAGAATGTTCTCATAACATGGGATCAAGTACTAATTTAGAATTTCTCTTATGATACCAAGGGAGGAGGGAGTGAGGAAGCATGCAGGGACTCAGATCCTGAATCAGAATGTTTTTTCCTCTAGCAGAAGAGAATTAGGATGTGTAAGTGGTACACCAAGACTCAAAAGTAATAATTTATTATACTTGAAATTGTGGCATCTAGTGGTGGATTGAGACAGTGTGTAATAGTAGTCATTCCAGAATGCTTTCCAGAAATCTTCCTGCAAAGCAGGGAGCCACAGACATGTTTTCTTCCTTTAAACAGAGCATTATTTTCAGTTTGTTCTGCCAAACGTATAACCTTGATTTGGTGAGAGAGTCCTGAAAATTTAATTGAAGGTTTGGATATATTTAAAGGATTCTGGACTTTGAAGTTTCATTTCAGGTCATCTCTGTAGTGACTTTAGTTTCACATTCTTATCCTGTCATATTTTGTGGGGTTTTTTTGTTTACCTGTCTTCATACAGAATTTTTACCAGATCCACGGGATTCATACCCATTCTAAAATTCCACTTAGTGAGGGAGTCTTTTTTCTTGATTCCCATGTCAATTTTTTTTGTTAATGCCTCACATTCTACTTTATTTCTATGAAGCTTTTTGTTCTCCGTTAAATTAGGCTGAAGGATCATCTTAATGTTGAAAAATTACAGTTGTCTAACTGAAGTAAGACAATAAGCTTTATCTTGGACTTTCTCCTAAAGTGGGCTGGTTTTCTCCCTATCTATTATACTTGTCTAGATTATGATTCATTAAGTTACCTGTAAAATTTAATTTAAAAAACTGTAGTTGCTGTAAGTAAATGACTGGTTCTTATTTTTTTTTGTTAAATGTTCCTGAATGTATTATGACTTCTTAAAATCTTTTAGCTGAGAGAAAATGACTGCAATCAAGCATGCTTTACAGAGGGATATTTTTACTCCCAATGATGAACGCTTGTTGAGCATTGTGAACGTGTGCAAAGCAGGCAAAAAGAAGAGAAACTGCTTTTTGTGTGCCACAGGTACGTAGCAATACCATGCTGTATTTTGTGTCTTCACCTTTGTCTTAGCTTTATTAACAAAATTTATTCTTGCCCCATATAAAATAGGTGTGTTCCATTTCTAATGGAGAAAATGAGTTGTTAGTTTTACTTCCATTATTGCTTCTATTAAAAAAGAAACAAAACTCTGTACTTTTATTCCTAGATCTCATTGTAATCTGAAATGAAAGAATCAAAATTATTTGTGTGGAACTGGTGGGCTTTTGAAGCAGGCTTTATATAGTGCTTAAAAGGGGGTTAGTAGTTATTTAGGCTGATCAGCCTAAATAAAATGCAATAGAGAATACTGGTTAGAGTCCAATGCAGAGCCCTCTGGAAAGGCACACTAACTGAACTGAGTTCTAATGTTCCTTTGAGTGTATGTGTATTATATCTCATCAAAACAATAGATGCTTTGGGTTGATCTGTCAATAAATTAGCTTGCTAGGATTTTTTTTTTTTTTTTTTTTTTTAGGAATCTCAGAAAATGTTTTTATTCTGACTATAATCTCCAGTTGCCTCTGTGCTTTGTCAGTTGTGTGGCCATGGTCTGAGGTCTGCTGTATCAAAGAAATACCTGTAAATTGGGTTCATTGCTTCACAAGCTGTATAGAGATGTATATCTGGTTGACTGAGATGTAAACTGAGACGTGGATATTGTGGATGACAATGTTTTAAAGGGTCTCTTATCGTCAAATAAAAATGACAAAATCTCCCCCACAGATGATCAATTTCAGAAGCTGAAAAACAGCAGAAACAGATGTTAATTTGTGCATTTTTAAAGTATTCTTTTACTTCATTTAACAGTGACAACAGAACGACCAGTGCAAGTAAACGTGGTAAAAGTGAAAAAATCTGACAAGGGAGATTTCTACAAAAGGCAGACTGCGTGGGCACTTCGAGATCTTGCTGTTGTTGATGCCAAAGATGCCGTTAAAGTATGTGTAAATTTTTTTGGTTTAGTGATCTGCTCAAAACATCCTTTTGGTTCCAAGTTACAGTTAACTTCCTTGATGCTGACTGCTTTAAAGCTGACACTGATAACACATTAATTAGGGGTTAGTATGATACATTCCTGTGCTGCTTATGCCTGCATTTTCTTCCAGCCTTTCCAAGAATATAACTCTGGTAAACTGAGTTAACAGTGCTCTAGGTATGCTTGAAGAGCAATATTCTGAATATCTACCCTGTTTATTGTAGTGGTCTCTCAGGGATTGGACAGTGCTTGTGCTAAGGACCAGTACTTTTTTTGTTTGTCTCAAGCTTTATGTAAATTTTAACTGCAAGCTTAGTTTCCCCTTAAAAAAAATTGTGACCATTTTACTAATGGCATTGAGCTACATGTAATGTCTTTCGCTAGGACACTTAAAATGGTCTTAATGAGCAATATATAAGCATTTTAAGGTGAGTTTTATGTCTGTTCTCTAAATAATTACATTGGCCATTTGTTGGAAAATGTACAGTCCTGAGTTGTTCTTCTTTTCCATAGAAAAGAGTAACCTATTTTTAATGATTTAAATTCATCTGTTGTCATAAATTAAGATGTACAAACAGGCAGAGGTGAAAATTCTTCATCCCATGATGTCTGGTTTTATGATCTGTTAACTGGTGATTTGGAAGAGTAGTGCAGAAAACTACAAAGTTAAAAATTCTTTGATTTCCCCTTCCCTAAGTGTAGGTTAAATGTGTTTTGTTATTTCACTTATCTTCATACTCATTGGCTAGATTTTAGATTTTTCTTGCTGTTCCTACATACCCTGTTGGAGAATTGCTTATTTCATTTAAAATTATACCATCTTTCAGGGCTTTTTCTTGCAAAACAGAATTCTGTTAACTGTTTTCAGAAATGTGCTGTAATTAATCTACTACACTAAAAAGTGATTTTGAAATTTCCTTTCAAAAAACAAACACTGAATGCCAAACTCTCTCATATTAAAAAACATCAGAATTAAAGTTCTTTGTTTAGAAATGTATGATAATTATATTTATGAAAATAAGCTACAGAAAAAAAACAGAACTGCTTTTATTGTGGTGTACAGGGAATACCATTTTTCATCATTTGCAGTTGCATATGCAGCCTACAGAGTAGTGACAATATAAGTAATAAGTAGCAGCAGCAGTAGTTTTTACAAACTAAAAGTAAGATTTTAACATGTATCTGAGGCAATAACACTTTTCATCAGAAGGAGCCTGGACCTTGTAAAATGCTTGGAATATGATCTTTAAAACAGACTATTACCAGTTACAGTCCATACTAGAGATCATAAGTGGCTGTAGAAAGGAAAGTACTTTGTTCAATTGTTATCCAAGCAACGTTCACATTAGGCAACAAATGTAGTGGAAAATACTTTTATAGTAGTTTTTTACCATTAAAATACCACATGGTCTTATCTATCCTGTCCAGTGCTATTAAATACTGTCATAGCTATAAAATATATGAAGTGCTCATAATTGTTTTCCCTTGCCTATTCCCCTAAGCCTCCTTGAATTGTGTGGTATATGTTGTCAGTAATTCCAGCTACCATTTTTAGTTTCAGAAGGCTAACACAAGGCATTAGTGATTTTGAGGACAGTGTTTTAGGGCAGACAGCAGGGTCAGATGTTTCTTGAAACTCTTACAGATCTCTGTACTATATATTATTGTTGCCTTAACTGGCTTGACAAAATACTGTCTTCGTAGTGTGGATTCTGGTTTTAGCACCTTCATTAAGGTGCATCAGGGTACCAGTGCTGGTGTAGCAGCTTAAGGTTGGCATCCATGTAATTTCATTTTTATCCTGTCATTTCAATAATTAAATGAGTAAACAATCTGTGCTGCTCAGAGAATCACTTGACCGTTGAGCCTGTAACATATCTCATCTTTTGCAGGAGAATCCTGAATTTGACTTGCATTTTGACAAAGTGTACAAATGGGTTGCAAGCAGCACAGTGGAAAAGAACACCTTCATTTCATGTATCTGGAAACTCAATCAGAGATATCTTAGAAAGAAAATTGACTTTATTAATGTTAGTTCACAGCTTTTGGAAGGTAAATTTCTACAACTATATGTTAAGCGTAAAGTTTAATAATTATTGATGTAAACCAGATAAACTAAAAAAAAAAAAGCAGTCTTCAGATAAAAAGGTGACTAGATAACAGATTTCCTGTTAGAACATTGAGAACCAAGATAAAATACTTCATTAATGAAGTTCTAAATATTAGCTTATTCTATTTCTAAGACATTCTGTTTCTTGAACAAAATAATATCTGCATACAAGAGCTGGTAGATCTAAATGTGTAATAAATCTACTTTTGTTCCTGTTTTCGTTTCCCCAAATTAGAAAAATGCTTTTAAGAATTACACTTTAGTATAGCATGCTTGAGGTTATATGAGGTTTCATATGAGATTTCTAGTTTATAAACTGTGAAGCGTGTGTTAAATTCTGCTGGACTCTCATGGTTTATGTGACTGGTTGCTAAGGAGGTTTTGTATCTTCTTGGCTCATGCTGTATTAAATATTTTTACAGTCGTGTTATCTTTTAATAGTTAAATTTCTTTAATAAAGCCTAGTTAGTTAGCATATCTCACACTGAGTCTGTCAGAAGTGCTTGAACTGTTGATATTAAATACTAGACTGGCTTGTGCAGAAGAACCTGAATTAGAAATGCGAAATGGAGGATAGCATTTCTGTATTTTGGTGTTGACTGAAATTTGCTTTTAACCAACCTCTGACTTGTCAAGTTTGTGCAATATTAAAATATTCAAACTTACTGCCACTTCAAAATATGCACACTGTTCATGCTTTGTCTAGCTAACATTCTCTGCTTCCTTTCCTCTGCTTTTCCATACCTTTTAATTCTTCAGAACTGCCTAAAGTTACAGAAGGTGCGTAACACCTTTTTCCTTTATTCTGCTTTTTAAGCAATTTCTCTTAAATAATATTCATTTCTTTTTCTTTTTCTTTCTTTTTTTTTTAAATAGAGCTTTGGAGAGCTCATCAAGTTGCTCAAGATAAGAGATATTTCAAATGTCTTAAGCACTTTCTGTCTGGACTGCGTTGATATTCTGTGTATAGTTTGTCAGCCTTTGAATGGCTTGTTGAATTGTAAGCACTGCCATGAGAAATCATAGTTCGTGAAAACATTGCTATGTAATTTTCACTTACCTCAGTACTGATTTTCCTGCTGTGAAACTTATCTTGAGCATCAAGATATTGTTTAATTTACTCAGTGATTAATTCTTAATTAACTTTACTATGTTTCCCTTGTGTTCTGTCTACCAAAAGAGAGAGTCCAACTTCTACTGACCTTCTGCTAGTCTAGTGAAATACTGTAATGTATTCTGATGTTGATTACCAGGATGAGAGGTGAATAAAGTGAGACAGTACCTTTGTACATGCAGTAAAGGAAGGTGGCTATTTGTATTTTGCTTATGCTGTGTAATTTGGAAAATGTCACTGGGAACCAGTTGTGGAAATCTTAATGAAACCCATGGAAGACTGAGACTTGAAAAAAGTGTATCTAGTTAGCAGGTGCTTGTTATGAAAGTTGTTTAACAGATTAATTTATTTAAAGATAGTGGAACATACTTAAGTACTCTTAAAATGCTTGTGACTTTCTCTATGTGGTAACATGTTTTATTTCCCTTCTCTACATAAGAATCCATTCCAAGTGGAGAGAATCAAAGTGTAGCAGGAGGTGATGAAGAGGCTGTGGATGAATACCAGGAGTTAAATGCAAGAGAGGAACAGGATATTGAAATAATGATGGAAGGGTGTGAATATGCTATTTCTAATGCTGAAGCCTTTGCAGAGAAGTTGTCAAGAGAACTGCAAGTGCTAGATGGGGTAAACATTTCTTCTAATGTACAGTGTGTTAGTGTGTTGAACTGTTTTCATTGATACTGACTATATAGTGTTCTTCAAAAAGCTGGGTAACGTGTTCTGCTGCATATTTAAATATAAATATATATCTGCTCCTAAGCAGAGCTACATCCTGGATATTATCAGAGTTTAAAGATCTTCAACTTTGCTCTTTACCTTCCAGACCTTCTGGGGTGAGTCACATGTTTTCAAATGAGGGAGGCATTCTGCATATATGTTTCTTGAAGGTAGGGGTGCAGGAAGATAGAGAATAGAAGTTCATATCCATGGGTGTGAACTCTTATGCCTAAAATACTACTCTCAGTGTAATTAGGAAACTGTCTTCGTTTAATAATGTTGCAGTATTTGGCTGTTTGTAACAATGCCATATTGTTTGTTGTTTTGCTTTTTAAACAACCCAACATTCTAGAGATCACTTAGAAAACTTAAGGAGATCAAAGGATATAGCCTCCTCATATTGTCAAGTTGGATGTTTCTCTTATATTTTGAAAATGGCTGTTACCATAGGGGTAGCTGATCTTGCAGCAGAAAATGTGACCTTATCACCTAGGCTGTTTTTCTGGAACTGAAACTGTTCCAGTATAGTAGGGATTACTGTTTGGTTTTTATTTTTGTGCAAATCAATGCTGCAGTTCGAAGAACTTGAGCAAAGTTTTGGGTTTATATCTTTTCTTTATGAAATAAAGAACAGTCATAGAATGAGGGATTATTGTGTTCAATAGCACTTCAAATGAGAAATACTACAAGATTATATTGTTTTGCCTCTTTCATCAAGAGTTTTGTAAAGTGTTTATTTGACAGTAATGGAGAGGGAGAAGGAGATATCAGAATACTTTTAAGATACAAAAATGTCTCTTAAAATGTTGTGGCTTAATTTTCTGTACAGGCAAATATCCAGTCAATTATGGCCTCGGAGAAACAGGTGAATATCTTGATGAAGTTGCTGGATGAAGCTTTAAAGGAAGTTGACCAAATCGAGCTAAAGCTGAGCAGTTATGAAGAAATGCTTCAGAGTGTGAAAGAGCAAATGGATCAAATTTCAGAAAGCAACCACCTAATTCATCTCAGCAACACAAATAATGTGAAGCTACTGTCAGAGATAGAATTCTTAGTGGTAAGCACTTCTGTTGTGTTTACTATGGTTGTTCTTATCGAGTATAAAATTCTTTTAGGTTGCTACCCTCTTTAGCAACCATATATGAGGTTCATTTAAAATAAGTAGTTTATTTTTCTGTTTTATTATTGCACCAAGGTCAGTAAGTTTTTATGACGGAATTGTAATTGCTGTTCTTGGTTCAGCAACATAGCAAATAAACTTGCTTATGGACAAGCATTGGAACAGGTTGCCCAGGGAAGTGCTGGAGTCACCCTCCCTGGAGGTATTTAAAAGACATATAGATGTTGTTCATAGGGACATGGTTTAGTGGTGGACTTGGCAGTGTTAGGTTTACAGTTGGACTCAATGATCTTAAAGGTCTTTTCCAACCTAAATGACTCTATGATTCAGTTCTATGATTCCATGACAATACTATCCATTATTTTGTAGAATCACATGGATTTGGCTAAAGGTCATATAAAGGCCCTTCAGGAGGGAGACCTGACATCTTCTCGAGGCATTGAGGCCTGCACTAATGCAGCAGATGCCCTCCTGCAGTGTATGAACGTAGCTCTTCGTCCAGGTAATGTTTTTGTTAAACTACTGTCTAACATGCAAAATTTATTATGATGGTGCCTTTATTGTATGTGCCTTTCCAACTAGACTCGTATTTTGTTTCTGTAGATTGAGGGAATTGTGACCTCTGGTCCTTTTGTTTCCCTCATACGATATATTACTATATATTTTGTACTCTGTGAAGTTCTTCTTGTTTTTAGGACATGATATGCTTCATGCAGTGAAACAGCAGCAGCAGCGGTTTAGTGACTTGCGTGAGCAGTTTGCACGGAGGCTTGCCAGTCATTTGAACAGCGTATTTGTTCAACAGGTATTATTTCTTACTATTTTATATGAAATTTTCTGTCACAAACTTTTCCTGAGAAGAAAACCGAATCACCTAAAATGAGATGTGTTCTGTGATGTAATCAGTAAATGAATGGACTGCTAGAGGCACTTCTAGGCAGAGATAGTATTAAGCATACCAAACTGTAGTTGCCTACAGAAGTCTCCTTACATTTAAAAAAAAACCCACCACCTCTCTTTAATGAGTTTGCTATCTGAATTAAATAAATCCTTATATATCACACAATGTGATTTAGTTGTAAGGCTTGATTAATTGAGGAGAAAAAGCACTCACTTTTTTTTAAGGGTGTCAGAGGCTGAGAACATTGGAGTTCTTGCTGTCTGAGCTTCAAGGACCATAAAAAACCCAAACCTATACAAAGAAAAACGTCTAAACCTTGATTTTTGAGCCTTAACTTGAAATACTCAGAAATCACTGTCCCGAGACTTGGTTCCTAAAGGCTGGATATCTTTTTTAGTGTATATATATATATATTTTTTTTTTTATTTATTTATTTTTTTTTTTTAATTTCTATCTTTTTATCTCCAATTAGTTTACTCAGACCCTCCTTCAACTCTATAACAGGTCCTACTGTCTTTCAGTTCCAGTGAGTACATCGGGTTTGATACAAGCTTTTCTAACATTTTTTTTTGAGCTTGGCTTTTCTTAACTAGCAGCTGCATCTTTGGCGTTACAAAAAGAAATTTATCCTGACCAGTGGCAGAGCATCAGACTTCTGCCCCTGCTCACTTCCATTATTTTTATCAGCCCTCAAACTTTGTTTATCTGTTAATAAGCTAACATTCCCTGACGTGATCTTCAGAAATTGCTGAGACAGATTGAGATGTATGGAGGAAAAATATGTTCAGGAAATTGTAATATGTACAACTGTCCAGATGCTGCTATTGTGTGAAATTGTATAAATTTTTTTAAAAAACAACCAGTTTTTATACATATTAGTGCAATCAAAATTTTAGAAGTTTTTGTTTTTATGTATTAGACTGAGTGCAGAAAATGGAATAGAGTTATGCTGGATAATTGTATAGAAAATTGCATTTGAGAGTACAAGCCTGGCTTTTTATGGCAATGATAAGTGCTTACTACGTTTTCTTCACTTTGCAGAAGAATTCCAGTTCTACAGCATGTTAATTCTTTTGCCTTTAGTTTCTGTTCTTAAGAGGGTATGTTTCTCCTTTTACTTTTCATATTTTGAAAAACCAAGGGCAGGCTGTGTGTCCTGGCCTCTAAGTGAGCAAGTAGAAGCAATGTTGTGCAAGTCCTGTCTAAATGCATTCACAAAGTTCGTATATTGGACTTGTGTATGAAAGTGGCTGTTTAACAGAATGTCTTTTCTGATGTACTGTTCTCAAGATTTTATTTTTAAAAATGGTATGGGATTATTATTACTATGTGATACTATGTGTATTAGATGAACTACTTCTAAAGAGACTTCTCTAAAGTGACTCAGTGCTATTGAGAATGCTATTGCCAATTTGCAATTTATTTATTTTATTTTTAATTCTGGTACTAATAGTGGCCTCACATTTTCTTTCGTGTAAACTTGCCCTCTGAAAAGTTTTGGCCTGCTGTTAGCTGTGAGGTGTTAATCAGCAGATAAAATATTAGAGCTTGCTGTAAGGTTAAGCAGGAAGAGTTCTTTAAATGCAAGGGATGAGCCTCTGCAAAGCCTTTTTGCTTGTTGCAAAAGAAAAGAAAAAGTTTGTATATTTCATCTTGAGGTACAGATTCAAGTGTTGGAGGTATAAGAGATTTTTGTGTTATCTTACTAAAATGACCTTGTTTTATTAGTCTGATGAATATAGCAATTTCTCAGTCCCATGTTTTTGAAAAGTCTAATCAGAATACTTTGTTACCTTTAATATCTGAAGAGTTGCATTATTTGTTTAGAATGTTTCTTTTTTAAAATAAAAACAAAAACACACTTCAGAAAAAAAAAAGGCAGATTTCTAAACTAAAACAGCAAAAGAAAACATGATGGTGTCTAGGCAGCTGCTAATATAAGCAAGACATTCTGATTTGGAACTCATTAGATGGAAAACCAAAGTTGCATTGACATTTCAGCCTAAATATATTATCTTAGAAGTATGAAATTGTTCTTTTTTTAAAAAACCAAATAAACCAAATGCTGTGATTCAACTTGTGCTTGCAACTACTGTGGCAAGATACTAAGGTGCTTCATGTCCTTTACATAAAAATGAGAATAAATCTTAAAAGTTTTAAACAGAAATGCAACTTTGGATTGCCATTCCCTGCAGTGTTAAAAACTGTTTGCAGTAACTGTTACTAACAGTTAATGTAGTTGTCTTTATTGTGTCATAATAATATTTGATTAGCCTTACTGTGTCTCCATAACTTTAAAGTTTGTTGTAGTTTTCTTTTAACAGCCAGGTTCAGCATTGAGTTAAAAAGCAACTCTGGGTTTCCTGCCTTTGAAATAGTTTGAAGCTTTGAAACTGTAAAATAGTTGAATAACAAACTTGCAGTATCATTTGGTAACAGTTAGTAGAAATGTTTATGTAGTGAGAGGAAGCCTGTTAATTAGGTGGAGAAGGTACACCTAGAAGCTCCATAGTGTTTTGGAGCAGACTTGAACAGGACATAATGTAGGACAACCACAGTGATTAGTGCTGTGGAAAACTTAGCTTGGAGAGAGATATACATCTTGGGAGGGGATTTGTCACCTAGCTTTTTGAAGAATACGACTACTAAGCAAAACTAGAAGTTGTGTGTAATAAAGGGACATGAATAAAATTATTAGATGAAAGAAGCAATCAAAATTTGGATAGCTGAGTATTTTCTAGCAGTAATATGAACTAACCTTTGGTCTGACTTAGTTGAAGAAAGCTGTAAAAGCCACCAGGTAAATTATCTTAAACTAGAATGAACTTGAACATTAAAATGCTTGCTGTAGGAATGTTGCATACCAGGGGATAGGAGAGAGAACTATAAATGGTTTTCTCTGTCTAGTTTTTATAAAAGTGTATCGAAGATCTGTTGAAAATATTTGTTATATGCATGCCTAGAAGTACACACAGTGTCGAGTATGACCTCAGTAATCACATCCGCAGCTGTGTCCATAATGCTGGCTGGATTCCAATTCCAAATTACTTGTTGTACCAATTACATGCAAAGTAATTTTTGCAAAGTTAGAATTTTGCAAAGTTAGAATTTTGTTGGAGTTTGACTACAAGATTGCTTTTGGAAGGGAGATTATCTGTGTGACCCTTGTCTGTGAGAATAAATGAAGTTGTCTAGGACTTGTTTATTTGGGTCCATTTGTGCCTCAGTTTATGTAGGTAAGAGAACAGGACTTAAAGCGAGTGCATGTGCACATTGGATGCAAAAAAGAACTCCAGCTTTAATTCAAAGCTGGCACATTCGCATTGAATTATTTAGTAAAGGTTGATCTTTTACAAACAATATCAAGACTCATATCTTATTTTTTTAAAACAGATTTTTCTGTGAATGTGTTGTGGAATCTTTTAGGGCTTTTTTAACCAAAGACTTGAACTGGTGAGCTCCCAATACAGTAGAGAAGGTGAGACAAAGTTGCTTTATTTTTGACTCTGGGAATCCAAACTGGCTTCTGTTCCAACTTGAAGACATGCAAAGGCAGTCTTTAAACTGTACATCTTATATTCTGCCAACTTGTCATATCCAAGACAGAAGTGTCCAGGAATGCTTCCTGTGTCAGGGACTGACATTGACTGACTTATATAACCCAGCTGCATGTTATGCTAGAGGAATGGGAGACCAATTAGGACAATCTTTTTGTGATGCCATAGTATAAACTACACTTAAGATCAAGTTCTCTTGCTATATTTATTGCAAGCCTGGTAAAAAAGACTTTACAGAAAATATTAAAGCCATTTTGAAATCAAGTCACATCCTCCCTTCCATTAACTCAGGGCTAATAATGGTTGTGCATTCTGCTACCTGACTGAACTGTGATGTTACCTTGTTTGCTTTCCCAATTGCCCAGGAAACTTGTGAGTTCAAGCAAGTGAAAGCTTAAAAAAGCTAAATCATATGTCATTCAAGCAATATGATGTGATCTTCACTTAAAGGATAGTGTGTTTTTCAGGGGATAAGCCAGAGAAAAGGAGGAGCATGAAGTTAGTAGTTTGCTGTTAAATGGATTGGTTTATGCTGCATGTTGTAAAATCTTTAACTCTAGTAAGTGGTTACTGAAAGAGTATATGTGTCTGCATTTCTGTGGAGGGAGAGAGAACGTGTGTGAACTGATGTTTTTAAGACTTGACCAAGACTCGGCCAAGGTGGACTGAAGTGGGTTGAATTGGAGCAGATTTTCAGAGGCAGAGTGTAAAGCTCATCACTAACACCTAGGCCACCCATTGACAGGAGACTTGAAATGTCTTACAGTATATAGGAACAGCATCTTTAAAAAGAAACAGCTATGGAATTTTTGTTTGTTTGTTTGGAGAAATAATGTAATAATCTCTCAGAGTTTTTCAGAAACAGTTGAACACTTGTCGTTAAATCTGCATTCAAGTGTACCCTGCATTGTCTTGCAAAAGATGCCAGACCGTTTCACCCTGAAGGCACAGTGGTAAACAGCAGGATCCTTACAATGAACCAGTTTACTAAGATGTATTATCTCAGTGTCTGTATTATGTTGGGCGTCTTTTCAGTTGGTGTTTTTAGACTGTTTCTATGCAAGATATTTTGATGCTTTTCTGTTTGTCTGAATGGGACACTGTCTTCATTTTAAATTCTTCCGGAAACTTCTAGTACATCTGTATAGTGCTTCCAGATTTACTTTAATACTTTCTCTTACCAAGGGTCACGATCAGAGTTCTACTCTTGCCCAGCACTCTGCTGAATTGACATTACCCAATCACCATCCATTTCACAGAGATTTACTTCGATATGCTAAACTGATGGAATGGCTCAAGAACACAGATTATGGAAAATATGAAGGGCTAACAAAGGTATGTGAAGTGCTCAAATTATGCTAGAGAACGTACATAATACACTGTTTTTGAAAGTCAAAAGAATTGCCTATGTGTATGTGCATGTCCTTTTAATATTCTTTTATATTAAATTTAATTCACTGCTCCTATTTTCTTGTTCCTCTTTGGAATAGGAAGCTTCATTTTTTGGTATGTGTTATATCCTGTAGTTCTTTTTTCTCCAGGATTCTATGTCTCTCTTCTGAAGTATTGTAAGATAATGATAGTTATGTAAAACAAGTTTGCCATTTTACAGTCTGGTAAGAAAAATAATTAAGCTCTTTTCATGTTGATATGCTTATTGCCAATGTGACATCTTTATTTCAACAGACCTTCATTTCATTTGAGAATATAAAGAACTTAAGATGTCTCTTGTAGAGTAAATAAAAACATTTTGGCTTTGTATATATGTAACTTGTTTATATATTACCATGTTTAAAACTGACATGGAGTGAAAAAATTACTACAGAAGTATAGAAAATGTTTAGATAGAAGTCAAGGGAAAGTTAGTCCTTATAAACAGGTCTTTTATTAAAGTACTGTCATTCTTAAAAACTCAACTATGGAAGATTTAAACTACTTTTAAAATGACTTTGAAATAGTTGTTCTTTCGCCTTCAGTGTAAGGCAAATAGTCAATGAATAGTTGGCATCTTTGTGATCTTCTAATAAAAAATTGACTTACATATTTATGTATCAAGTGTGCTAAGTAACAAAATTTTGAAGAACACATGAAAAAATTATTGGATTATCTTTGTCAATAAATATAATATTATTATAACCTTTGTATAAGGTTATAATAATAACCTAAACAAATCAGATAATGTTCAAACGTTTTTAGTTGTGCCTCTTGTCTTTTTATAACTTGAGCTTATTTTCGACAGTGTTGCAAACAAATTATTTTAGGGTTGATTAAATCTTAAAGTAAGTAGGCACACAGAGTTTGTGTCTCCCTAAGTTTTCTGCTCTTTTGTTTTCCTTGTGAGAGTAGTAATAAAGGAGGTCGTGTACTCAGGAAGATGTTTAGGAATGGCATCCTATTTGCTTTTTTGGGGGGACTCTAGTAAAAGAGGCTACAGGGAATTCTCTCCATTCTACCCTTGAATTGAATTCTGTGATGCTCTACCATTAGTAATCCTATTTGTATGTACCACATTGCCTGTCTTTCCTTATGGAGGAGAAATAGCAGTTGCTGATGCTCAATTAACTCATTAGGAAAATAAATATAACCTGATTAAATATCATGAATATATTTTTGTGCATGCTACATAAATATATAAATACATATACAGTCCAAACCAGTTTGTTTTTTAGTAGAACTTATGTACTTGGTTTGGTGGTTTTTGTGATCCATTTAACTGTAATAGGTCAAAGTCAGTATGAATACCCGTTAACTAACTTTACATTTTTCTTTTAAGAATTATATGGATTATTTATCACGACTGTATGAAAGGGAAATAAAAGATTTCTTTGAAGTTGCCAAGATCAAGATGACGGGCACGACCAGAGAAGGAAAAAAGTTTGGTAAGCTTCCAGGAGGCATATATCTTGCTTTGAATCATATTATTTGCTTATAAAATACTCATCACAACTCTTAGAGCCAATTTTATAATGGTGTAAAATTGTTTACTTTTGGTGAGGTGGAAGAGCTGGATGAAAAATACAACCGTGAAAACTTCTGACTTCCACAAGGCCAAAGTAGCACAACTGAATTCTTGTGGTTGGTCAAGATAGAAGGATAAAATATGGTATTGCTCAGATTTTAAAATCTGCCCTCAGTTTTTAACAAGCTACTGACCATATTTTATTACTTGAATTATTGTGCTTTATTACTAGAACAAATTTGAAATTTCAGCTCTTGTAATTAAAGAAAGCTTGGGCAGCACGTGTGTGTGTGTTGCTTCTCCTATTACTTCTGCTTTTAATAAGCTTTGGGTGGATTTTGAAGAAGCTAGTTTTAATGCTAATTTTGCCAAAGGAGACTTGTGTATTTCATTTTGTTTTCAGTGGCATTTACCTACATAGTCTGAGACTAGAAATCATACTTTGTTAACTTGTAGGCCTTTCTGTTTAAGGGGGTATGTATTCCTGCTAGGATTAGAATAGTCTAGTGTGAGTATGGGAGTGAAGCTTTAAAAAAAAATAACTTGAATACTTAGAAAGCAAGAGCTATTATGGGTGTAGATTTATATTGCCTATTCTGTATTTTGAAGTGCAGTGTTTCAAAACTTGTTTTAAATATTTATATTTGCCACACTTAACCAGTTTCCAAATTCTAAATTCAGAAATGATGTGCAGCTTTAACTACTAAGTTTTGTCAAGCCTATTTTGGGTCTTGAACTTCTGCTTTGAAGTTTGATGGTAGAGAATAGAAAAAAGTAATGAAAGGAAGAAAACAGGAGGGTGGCGAGCCTTCACTGAGGAAGGGGGAAGCTGGAAAGATAAGTCTTGGCAAGCTGTTGGACATGGAGACCAAGTGGTGCCATAATGTGTCATTGTCAGAACAGTTCAACTCGTATATCTTGTAAAAATTTTTCAAGAACAAAATACTTTATCCTAATATAAACTGATTTCTAAAACATTCTAAACACTTTATCCTAGCACTCCTTTTGTGATTTGCATTTGTGAGGAGACAGTTTTTGTAGCAATTTTGTAACTTCTGTAAATGTTATGGAGTAATCAGGCATTTTGGAGAAAGGTCTTTCAATTCATAAGCGTAAGAGCTGCACCTTGAGAAGGCTTATGTCGTGTATTTATGCCAACTGCAAGCCTGTTTGAACTTTGCACAGAATAGTCCAGGACAGTAGCAAAGGATTTTTTTTTAACCAATTCTCTTTGTTTGATTTCCTTTGTGATATTACATTTTCACAATCATGTTTATATTTGAGTCTTCTTTATATTTGAGTCTTGCTGATGATTGATGGACGTGCAAAAGTTGACCCAAGTGCCCAGTCCTCTGAAAATTGGTAGGAACCAGTCAGAAAACCAAACCCGGAAGCTGTATCCAGTGGAGACTCTCCTAGAATTATTAACATACTTAATGGCTTAATTACCATTCATAAATGGTTATCAGTGACCATATATTTGAGGTTACAAGCAAATTGGACAATGAATTAGATCAAAAAACCTTCAGTAGTCTTCAGTACTAATCTTACAAAGAAGGAAAGCAAAATACGTATGTTTAAAAAGGTGTTCCTTATACTAATATGATTTCATTTCACCATTTAAATATGAAGTTATGTATTTATTTTGTAACAGCTTATAACAGTGTGTAATTTCAAAAGCTTCTATATTGAAGGTAGGAGTTGTACTATTACTAGTGGCACATTAATTCAAAGTACATCACTTCTTAATAGTAAACGTACTTAAGGAATAGTGTAGATGCATAATGCTCCAGTTGTACTCGGACACTAAAGATGACCTGTTTCCAAGCTGTGTTGGTGTGTGTTCTTGCCTTTTTTTTTTTGTGCTTTGGGAATAGCACTGCTGTTTGAATGCCTCAAACGCAGAGGGGATGCTGGGAGGATTCTGGCATTCTGTGCTAATGCAAAGTTCTTTGTCTGCATTTCTATGGCAAAAAAAAAAAAAAAAGTCTATACCCATTTTTCTAAAGAAATTTTTTTTTTTTTTTTTTTTTTTTTTTTTTTTTCCTGATGAAGCCAAGACTTTGATACTTAAATACCATAAAAATCAATGTGGGAAAGATTGCTACTACTGTCATATCTTTATATGATGTGGATTCTCAAAAGCCACTGTGGCTCCCCTGGTTGTCCAGGGCCTGATCTTTGCCTGTAGTTCTTCACATTCTGTAATATAGTCCCATGCATTTGTAAATTGAGGGTGATGAAGAAGTGGAACCAGTGCATGGCAGATGCATATACCAATTATATCAGGCCTAAACCTTTTTATTCAGAAACTGCAAAAACCCCCGTGATCTAAAGACTAGGCTGGAATTAAATTTGAGTTTTATGTTACAATTGTCAGTAGTGTTGCCTGCTTGAGCACATCTGGTATTTAAGACATGTTTGTGGCATTTAGAAGTATTTACTCATTCTATTACAGTAGGTTCTGCTTGCCTGCTCCATTCTGGGGGTCTTTTAGCATCCATCCTCATCAAGATCTTCTTAATACCACATACTGCTTTTAGTGTACGTATGCAAATGCCTTTTACTGGTTAGGAATTCTCTATTTAGTACAAATGCCAGCTTACCCTAAATTTCATATTGAAGTCCACTTGAGGAACCTATATAATTCTGCAAAAAAACAGGAAAAATAAGAAAACACCTTGTAAATTTTTTACTACGTATTTATTTTTTCATCCTTTTCAAATTTGCAGTCATCAATTTTTGGTGCAGCATGAATACAAAAGATGTATTCTCTATGTAAACATCCTGATTTGCAGACAACAGAAAAGGTTAGCCAGTCTTACTGTCGATACAAATGACTTTGCAGTATTGGTGTGTGCTTTTTAAATTGAAGAGTTGGACAATATCTCTGACTCAGTACAAAATTACATAATTACATTCTAATTTCTTCATGTCTATTATAGAGATGATGATTATCTTGGAAACTGAGTCTTTTGCAATATTAACTCTGACAAATTAAACCCTAATGTAATGGACTTCTCAATTTGGGAAAACTTAAATACATGTTACCAAAAATGTTCTTTGAACGCACTGTGTAAGAAGAAGTAAAGTTCAATACCTAGAAACTTACTCTGTTTTCCATGTAGTTTAGGTACTGAATTTCTAGAATAGTACCTCTCCAACTAAATGTGTTTGCAATGTAGTTACTTGCTGCTTATAGTTCTCTGCATGTTTCTTTCCAGTTAGAGCTTAACTTGCATCTTGTGCATGGTTTGTGCAAACTGCATTTTAACTTGTCTTTGTCTTTGATGCTTGCAACCTAATCCATCCCAGCTACACTGCCTCGAAAAGAAAGTGCTGTCAAACAGGAAACGGAGAGTGAGTATAACTAGTTGCATTAGTTGGTGTTGTCAATGCATGTGTGTCGATGTAAAGATGTAGTGCTGCATCATGGAAAATCTACCTAACACTGAAGCATTCTGTTCAGAATGAAATGAATGTTAGCACAATCATTGTTTTTGCAAGGCAAAAATGAAGCACGGCTAAAATGGCCCAACATAGAAGTGGAGAAGGTTTGCAGGTAAACAATATCTTTTGGTTTTCCCATGCTACTAGTTGATCTAAAAATTTTGTTTCTGCCTGAAAGCCTGTTGTAGTTTTCCAACTCTTCCACTAGGTTGAAGTAACAACTTTTATTAGATCTCTAGACTTCGTCTTGATTGTGTCCCTAGACTGGATACCAACATAGCAGTTAAATGATACCTGCAGGATTGCTTTTAAGATGTGAGAAGTTTATATAGGAGTTTATTGCTGATTTCTTGATTTTTTTGTTACTAGCTTTCTCCATTCTATTCCAACATTTGTGAAAATTTTGGAAGAAATAAAAATAAAAAGGGATGCTGCTCACCTAGGAGAAGGCCCCACAAGATCAGGAAGAAATGGCTGAATGTTAATTATGATCAAAAGGAGGGGGAAGCATTAGCAGTAGAGTTACTGTGGGATTGTAGGTCCAGCAAAATAGCTGGAGCAAAGTATGTAGACAAAAGGATATTAACAGCAGAAAGATCAAATTCAAGATGAAAAAATGCCTGTGTGTGTATATAAAGCTTTTTCATTTCTTCCCTCTTGTGGATTAATTCTTCTGCTTGTGGCAGCCTTTGCCCAAAGTACATTCACAAAGATCATAACTGATCTTTGCTTCCAAGCTTTCAAGGACAATATCTATCCCAGTGTTTCCTCTTGTGGATTAATTCTTCTGCTTGTGGCAGCCTTTGCCCAAAGTACATTCACAAAGATCATAACTGATCTTTGCTTCCAAGCTTTCAAGGACAATATCTATCCCAGTGTTTCTGTAATTCACGTTTTTGTTCCTTTTATACCTTTATCCATACTTTACAATGAGGGCTTATGTAGCTACATTGTACTTTGAAACCTGAAGTATTGCATTTACCTGGTAAGAAGAAAAAAATGTGTTTCTAGCATAAACATTTGCAACTTAGACAAAAATTGAGTTGTTTGATTTTAATGTAGGACTACTAACAACTCTTGATCTCACACATTCTGTAATGAACCTGTTCTTGAATATTTTATTCTGCCTTTGCTTCCATCCTTCATAGTGTCTTTATTTCACAGGTCTTCATGGAAGTTCTGGAAAACTGACTGGATCTACTTCTAGCCTAAATAAACTCTCTGTTCAGAGTTCGGGAAACCGTAGGTCTCAGTCATCCTCACTGTTGGATATGGGAAACATGTCTGCCTCTGACCTTGATGTGGCTGATAGAACAAAATTTGATAAGGTAATAAAGCAAAAACATTGTTTAG